AATAGTTTCCCATTGCTAATCCAAGTAGTTATTGAACATTTCAATTCATATATGTATCAATTATTCATTACATCATGAATAGGGGGGGGGGCTTATTTACATCATAAAAAGGGAGGGCTTATTATTTTTGAGGTGCAGGAGGCCCCTTAACCTCGGCCCACGGCCCACAGATCAGCTGATCCAGGGAGGGCCGTAAGTTCAGTCTCTGTTTCTGGCACACTCTTGCCAGCCCTACCGTCCCTGGGCCTGCCACTCTTTTTCCAGCCGCCACTAAGAGAAGGGGCACAGTAGCTAGGATTTGCGGGAGCAGCCTCCGCGAGGCTGTTCCGCGTGGATGGTAGGTGTGCATGTTTTCCCCCTCCCCTCCCAGGAAATTGCGGGGACCAGCTGCGCATGTGTTTAACTATTTTAGGGGAGGGCTTATTTTAGCGCATGCGCTCAAAAGCCTGGTTGGGCTTATTATTCCGGGGAGGTCTTATTCTCGGGGAAACAGGATGATAAGATAGATAGCCGTGGTTCCCAGAGAATAAGCCCTAACATGAATTTTCAGGATGCTTATAATATAAGCCCTACCCCCAAAATAAGTCCCATTTAAGATTCTCAGCCAGAGAGGTGCAATTAGTACCGTATTTCTCCCCAAATAAGACCTAACTTGAAAACAAGTCTAATGCGTCTTTTGAAGCGAAAATTAATATAAGAACCCTGTCTTGTTTTCTGGTTGGATCAATCTATATTTTAATGTATAATATTAAACTAAGGTAAAACCATGATAAAATCACCATAATGTGGCACTCTGGAGTCGCATAGGATAGATGTTATGATTTGATGTCTAAGGAAGCTAACCATCGAAGACAGCGATTGCAAACCTTTTAGGCACCCAAGTGCCCAAGCTGCGCACACGGGCAGGCCCAAACTAAAAGGGGTGCGCATGCGCAACAGAGACCCGTAAACCGGCGGGAGGCGGGGCATCCCAACACTAGCAGCGTGGGGAAGAGGTAAGATCTTTTTCTTTTGTGAGCTTCTGCTTCACCGATTGCAGGGAAACAAGCTCGCGAAAGAAACGCCACGGGGATCGGACACGGGAGGGACGCTGCCGTCTCCCCCCCACACACACAGGCGTGCCACCTCTGCCACATGTGCCATAGGTTTGCCACTAAGATGGCTCTAAGATGTTGGACGGAGGTTTTGCTTGGCCTCCCATTGGAGAATGGATTTACAGACGACAATATTATGGTTTTCTTCTTGGAATTCTTTTTCTTTGAAGGCCAGTAACGGGCAGTGGTACCAGATGAACGATTCCACCGTTTCCAACAGTGACATCAGGACTGTGTTAAATCAACAAGCCTACGTGCTGTTTTACATCAGGTAAGGCCCGGCGCTCGGAAATAGATCTTCTGACCCTTGGCCCCAGGACCTGCCCTTGGGGTTTGGCCCCACTTCTGGTGTGCCACCCGTGGCAGAGTCTGTTCTGACTCTGGCTTCCTGAGACAGTAAAAAAGCACACGCTTAGTGCCAAAACCCCTCTTTTCATTTCAAAGGCTGAGAATTATGTTCATTGACAGCCTGTCGTGAGTCCCAAATAGTTGTGAAGAGTCCTACGCTAGGCTGCCAAAGTCTTTCGGGATAAGGCTGAAAAGCACCTACCTTTTATCTTCCCTGACACGCTGCCAAAGACTTAATTGGCAATCTTTTTTTTTCTTTTTTTTTTCTCTCTTTTTTTGTAAGCCGCCCGGAGTCCTTCGGGATTGGGCGGCATATAAATTTTGATAATAAATAAATAAATAAATAAAAATTAGCTACGCAGAGCAAAGAGTCAAAACGGAGCTTCAGAAGGTGAACTGACCAGCATGAACCAAGTTGCTTCTTACAAAGGCTCACGTGCCTTTGCTCCTTCTTTATGTCCTATGGGAGGGGCCAATCACCTCCAAGCCTTCCTCCCGAGTCGTCCGTTCTGTCTTAACTGCTCTTGCCTTCTGGCAGCTCTGCGCCTGCGCACACTGGGAACAGGGCTCCCCCTGTTCCTCTGCCTCGCTGCTGTCCGACTCTGGAGGCTCCGGAGGCAGCACATAACTACCAGATGGCCCCGGCCCCCTCTCTGCCTCCGATGCAGAGTCCTCGTCCGAGCCTTTCCCAGACTCCAGGACTGGCCCATCTTCCTCCCCAACCTCCTCACTGTCCGATTCTGCTGCCAGCTCCGTAGGCCACCGGCGGACAACAGAGTCACAGCTCTTTCCTGGTGACGAATAAGGATGCCACCCTAAAAAAAAGTATCGTAGGACGGTTTGTGAAAAGGGAAATTAACGTGATTAATGTGACTTTTTTTTTTATTAGAACCCATGACTTGAAAAATGGTGCCGAACACATTCATTCAGTCCATACGCCGGGTCAGTCTTCACCCCGACCGGTGATCAATCAACGGGTGATGAGTAATAAGCAAAGCAATCCTGGATTTATCGGA